ACTTCTGGTCCGACATTGTAAAGAAACGTTTTTGAAAAAAATAAAGCAGGCTCGTGCGATGTATCTGTCTGTGTGTCTGTGTATCCCACATACCAAGTTTTGAATGGCTGAACCAATCTTTATGAAACTTGGTATGCATATCGTGGCACCTGAGCCCATCTCAGCGGCGTAATTCATAAGCCCCTTCCATCAATCTGTGTTTTTAAGTGTTACCGTTATCAGGCAACGGCTCTGTAAAAACGTTACTGTGGCAACGAGTACACATACAACCATAGAAGAAATTGTTGACGCGTCTTTGTTTGCTGTCCGTGTCGTATAAAGAAAAACAAGAGATACTTCTTCCAAGAACTTTTTGTTCGTGATTCAGTCGACTCAAATTAGTGAGACGAGGAAAAGCGGTTTTCTTATGTGCACATTTTCGACCCGAGAACATATATCGAGGATGAACCTTAGTGCTGCGGGGGCAGGGGGCGATAAGCTGTCACTCTCGAGAAGATCAGGGTCGCTGTCCCACGCTGTTACTTCATGAGAATGACTTCAGCAACAAACTATAAGTTAGAAGCGACAGAAAAAAGCTTGCTTGCTTGCTGGCTTACTTGCTTACTTACTCATGGAGCTGAGCCCTTCTGGAGGAGCCGCCAATTCTGCAGCTACTCATGAATTTCCCAGCACATTTGGAACCCGAAGGTTCATTACCGTGTTCACAAGAGCCCTCCACTGGTCCCTATCCTGAGCCAGATCTATCCAATCCATAACATCCCATCCTATCTCTCTAAGATCCATTCTAATATTGTCCACCCACCTACGCCTTGGTCTTCCCTGTGGTCTCTTTCCTTCTGGCTTTCCCACCAATATCCTATACGCATTCCTCGTCTCCCCCATTCGTGCTACATGACCTGCCCACCTCATCCTCCTTGACTTGATCATTCTAATTATACTTGGAGAAGAGTACAAGTTATGAAGCTCCTCATTATGCAGTTTTCTCCAACNTCTGAACAGTGTCACATTTTCAAAACATCTGTTTCCTATCTTCATGTCATGATTTTGCCCTGCATTTTGGTGACGAGGCAGTAACATATACTTAGTTTTCTCGGTGTTTACTTCTAGACCAACTTCCTTACTGGTGTCAATTAAAGTTAGAGCTACGACCGAATAACTTCAAGACAGAAAAGACAAGCTTGACCAGAACCAGTGCTTTACAGCTCTCTGACACGGAGTCAGTGCTACAGAGCCACAGACTCCAGAATGATAGGGTGAACTCTCCAAGTTAGGCATCTGGTACCAAACCTTAAGCGAGAGTGATTATCTTTCAACGTCACCCATTCTTCCTGCCGCTTAATGCAACAACGAGGAAGCGGCATTGCCTTGCGTGACCGAGTGACTTCTGAACCTGCCCCACATTGAGCCTGATAACAGAGAGTTCGCAAGTCTCCGAAACGTTTTTTTAACCGAAAATTAATGCGGCTAATTTTCCCAGAAGATTTTACCGCATTCAGTCGCCATGGAAGCATTTACACAGTTTATATACATAATGACGCATAATTTATTCTCTTCATCCTGCTGTTTATGTTATTTGTCGACAAATCAATGATAAATAGTCTTGACACTTTTTGAAAAAAGTTTTGTTCTAAAATTTAAGGCCAAGTGCAAAAGAAAAGAAAAAAAGAGGGTGGCTCCACTTCTGGCAAAAATTGTCTATACAATAGACCCATATATCAAAAATCTATATAAATACATTACTCGTAAGCCTAAACCGAAAAATTTTGGTTCAATAAAGCGCGGGAAATTTCTTGACAACCTGAGCGACTATCAGCTTCTAAAGGAGGATTGTGGTACCTCAGTAGGTTCATTGTACATAAGTAGTGGTTATTTTGCCCAAGGAAAAACCCCCCAAGCGATAGGCTGCCACATTTCTCAAGCAATAAATAAAATATATATATCATAAAGCACTGACATCTTCACAATGCCCACCTCTTCATCATTCACATGTAATAATTAAATCATAAAAGAATATAACTTTATATGTCCAGTGTAGAATCCTGTTCCAATACTTTTGTGTTACTTCTGGACTTCGGGTGGAGACCTTAAATGGTCTAAATTTTTCTAATATTTCAAAAGAAAAAAGTAAGGAAATTTACTTATAGTGTAACAGTTCTGCAGAGGTGGCTCACTTCTGTTTAATGACCTCGAATTTTAAAGCTTCCAGAAAGAATGTGTTAAGCACAAAATATGTTTCATTTTTCTCGGAAATTTTTGCTTGAAACATCTTCCTCACTTCGATTAATGTTAGCGCGTTATGAGCAAAATCGTATGTAAGTCTTTTCGTAAAATGTGTCCCATTTTAACCAAAATTTTAAAGTGTCAATAATCGCTAGTAACTTCCCAGTATCAAATTTCGTGAAAATCCATTCATCTGTTGTTGCTTTTCTTTAAGTTTCATTTGGATGGGCAGTCATAACAAAGCTGATAGGTGAACTTTAGTTCTTGCTGCGAACTAGCCAAACGGATACGGAAGTTCTGCAACATACATTCACGGGTTTTAAGACTGCCAGTAATATAAACTTCCGAATATGATGAAGCTGAGAAGTATATATAAATTATCTTAATAATTGAATTCCTTGTTCACTTTCCAATTTTCGTAAACTTGGTCGCCTCTGTGGTCTAGTGGTCAGAGTTCCTGGCTACAGATCCAGAGGTCCGGGTTCGATTCCCGGCGCTGTGGGGTCTGGAACGGGGTCCACTCAGTCCCGTGAGGATAACTGAGGAGCTATTTCAAGGAAATCGCGGCTCCGGTCTAAAAAACCGAATTTAACGGCAGTGGGAATTCGTTGCGCTGACCACGTGACACCCTCTTTCCGCTAAGGTTGGCACTAACTTCGCCAACAAGCGGCGGTCGCTCGGTCGGTATAGTTCGCTTGCGGACTAAAACCATATTTAAAAAAAATGAATGCAATAAAATAAAAACCAGGGGGCAGAAAAATAAATGGGACGGTGTAAACAACTCATCTACTCGACTAGTTGTGAATCAACTCTGTAAGCACAGTGGTTACTATGTGTATCACATGCTCGACGTTTGAAATCTCTGAATTTGTCCAACAGAATATTTATAAAGCATGGCGTCTTCTGGGATGTGGCGCCGTGTATTGTGTAAACCGACGTTTCGGAGGCACGAATAGCCTCCATATTCAGGGTAGAGAAATCCGCGATCGAGGAACCAGCTTGAGCAGGTGGCTGCAGACTGAGTCATCAGTCGAAAAACACCCACCTATATAAGAATAAGAAGGGAAATCAGTAGAGAGGAAAGGGGAACATTCTGTGGAGATGGGCCAGCAGGTAGCAGGCAAAAGCCAGAATGTTTCGTATGACTGTCGGAATACTGAGCGATTATTTCCCTAAGTGGTGTTAACTGAGTGGGCTCTTTAATAAGGAGAAAATATGTCTTCTGTGAGGTAAGAACTGAATTTTTAAATATTGCTTTGGTAAATTTCAGGCTTCGAATAACGAAAGTATACATGTTTTCTATGTGAAAGAAACATATTATCGCATCTTTATTAATTTCCACTGTTTCAAAGCACGTAATTAGGCGAATGGGGTTGCGTATATCCTTGTGTATAAAGCAGGTGTGCGTAGTGACGTAATGGCCAACGAACATGAACACAGCAGCCTCAGTTCTCCAGGAACAGTGAGAAGTGCGAGTGCTAATTTCGACTTCTACTATTCTTTTAAACGTCAGTCATTTTATCCATTCTAACTGCGTTCTGATGGTGAAGAATGATCTTCCATTTTATTACAGCATGACAGAAGCAAAATCGGCAGGCAGGACGATAGCACCAAACTGAATACAACTTCTCTTGATGCAGGAAGTTCAGTGAACTTGGATGAATGGAGTCGTAAGTGGCCTGTGCCCTGCATTTAGCTGTATAACAACTTCATTTACTGTTATTCATGTTGACCTCTTCTGTCATCTAAAAAGAAACTGACGTAGCAGAACATAGAATGAAACAGACTTTATCGACATGAATTCACCAGTTTTCGTGCGTGCTCAAGTCCCAGGCTCTGACCTCGATACGGATATCGGCTATCATAAAGGTTTTTATGATTTTCTTGAATCGCTCCAGGCATGTAGAGTGCGAACTGATGTGGTGGTTACCTTCTAGGCCTGTATTCAGGAAGTATCTGCTCGCGGTTCTCTTCTGCGTTATGGATATCCTGACATGATACCATTTATCAGTCTCTCCACGATAATGCAGGATACTGCCACGGACATGTGGTGTGATTATAGACGGTGTTTCGATTTGTGAAAAGATTTATTGACCACTTATACACACGACTCGGATCTACAAGCAATTACAGCGCCATCGCTGACATGAACTCTTTATAAATTACTACAGCATACGGTAAGCCTCAGTCTTTTACAGTCGTTGTTTGGTAACGGCTCTCAACAATGGAGATTCTTCAGCTTCTGTGCTCACGCCGTTACCAGCTGGCTAGCACTGCTCATAACTAAACTCACTGCTCCAACTGTTCTGGTTACTTCCACTCCTATGTTCTTCACTGTAATTGTTGGCCCAGCCTCTTTCATATACTTATATACATTACTAACAATTTCTCTTGATTGTGAATGCAACACTTTTCCACTCAATTTACTTCGTGTAGGTGGCATGTTAAAGGAGATAGAAAAAATGTACAAATATAAATAAACAAAAAATAAAATCAAAGAATAAAAATAAACAATAAAATAAAATATTAATACAGTAAATAGATAATAATACACTCAAATACGACTCCAAGAGTAAAAAATTTTTAACTTGACTGTACAAGGAAGAATGCTTTTAGCTGAATTTGAGACGTCTGCTCGCACTGAAAACAAACGAATGACTAATCACAACACCCCTCAACTTTCACGAATGGACCTGCCGATTCACTGCGCAGCTTTTCCTGGACTGTCACTAGGCTGCGGCCACACGAGCGCACAAAAGGCCTCAGTTGTAACGCACGTCGTGACGTCCGTTGCAGAAATAGAAACCAATAGATCCCAAAATACGAGGCACGCGCGCACTTCTTTACGGACTTTATAACGTGCGTTGATTTTCGATGGACTCCTTTATACTAGAACGCTTGTCAAGCCTTGCTGACTGACGTCACAGCTTTGAGTACCCTCGAATGGTGCCGGCCAGACGGGAGCATAGTTTAACGTCCGTCACTTGTCGTATCCGGTTTTTTTTCTTGAATTACTGCTGTTTCATCTTTCACTGTGCTTCATAGTTTTATTGTTTTTGTTGTTGTCTGTGTTTTTACCATGGATATTGAAACTTTGATAAGTGCGGTACAGCGCCATCCGCTGTTATGGGACACTGCAGACCCTGATTACAAAGATAAAAACAAAAAACACCAGGCTTGGGTTGAAGTATCGAAGATTTTATTTGAAGATTATGACAACCAGTCTCAGGATCAACAAAAATTAATTGGTGAGTACAATACCATGCTACAGCGGGTACTTTGTATGATTCTAATGTTATTGTTAACATGCTTTTACGTGGGAATATGAAGTTAGGCTCTTTCTAAATCCTCCCAAGTTGTCATGGCTGCTGTGTGCTGTTTTAATTGGTGAGTACAATACCATGCTACGGCGGGTACTTTGTATTATTCTAATGTTATTGTTAACATGCTTTTACATGGGAATGTGAAGTTAGGCTCTTTCTAAATCCTCCCAAGTTGTCATGGCAATTTACCACTATCACCAACAAAATATTTAGTCAACATATCTCGAAAACAATTGGTGGTTTTATTTACAACAAAACTGCTAACGGTAGGCCTCTCTTCTAAACCACAAACAGTCAAGGAATCATCCAAATTGAACCCATCTCGATCATATACAAAGTTATGTAAAATACAACAGCATTTGACAATGTCGACTGCAAAATCAACGCTTACATCCAGTGGCCTGTGAAGTTTTCTCCATTTATTTGACAGAATCCCAAAGGAACACTCCACATAGCGTCTAGCTCGCTATAATCTGTAGTTGAAGACACATTTCCCTACTGGCAAATGTGTACAGGAATATGGTCGTAACAGATGCATAGACAATGTAAATGCTTCGTCCCTTACAAAAGCAAATGATACTGCTTCATTACTTCCAGGCGGTTTTAAGGTGGAGGAATTCTTAGAAGGCCGAGCTCCACTTGTTTCCAAAGTGAAGAATTCTTGAATATAGTGGAGTCTATTGTTATTGCTATTATTGGAGGGGGTGGGTTTCCCCATGCACTGCGACTACTTGTTAATCTATTGTGCGTCCCCCTTTAATTTGTACTGGCGCCATGCCCTTCCAGTACTGGTGCTCGCTATCAGCCCCGTTCTGCCAGTGAGGTCGGCCCTCTCTGGCAGTGGTCCCCGATACTTCCCATCTACCGGAGTAATGGGAAACTATTTGGGCGGGAAACTTTTGCCTAATTTTGCTCAGAGGTCTCCTAGAGACATTAGGTTCTTTTACGTGCCGTAAATCTACGACACGGGACACACGGCTTAAGTCCCTCCCGGAGGGAGGGGGTTTTAACCCGCGTACCTTGAGTCATGAGGTGGGAACGTTACCACTAGACTACGGGTTCGCTTTAGTCGATTCTAAGTCTTTGCTGAAAGAACCCACGTCAACATAAATGAACCTGTAACTTGCATCGGCTACTAAAATTAACCCAATGGAAAAATAATTTTAGTTTAAGGTCTTTCATTCTGGTCCGTCACACTAACCAATTAACAATCAAGTTCCTTCCGTCAAATGTGACACTTTTTTAAGTTTTCCACCTCGTCAGCACCTGCCTTACATGTTTCGGCTCACCACGGAGCCATCATCAGAGGCATTTATAGTAGAAAAAGAAATCACCAACACACAAAACTTCACTTTGTCCAAGATAGCCACGTTCCAGTTAATTAAAATAATTACAAATAGTTAAAATTACCCAGAATGTCG